GGTGGGGAGGTGGGAGGGGAAGGCTAGCCCTGAATTATTCTATCTTGAGCCCTGGTCATAAAAATATCAAGCAGCTTCTACTTAAGTACAATGCTGTCACATGTAGCTCTGGACTGTGAATGGCCACAAGCTGCCTGGCTTGCAGCTATGTTGTATTCTTGATAAACAACCAAACTGAGACTACAGTTTGTTCCAGTCATTTATTTTGTATCATGGTATTTCAGAGCAGTGAATACAGATGGTTTGCTCTTCTAGGCTTCAGAACACTCAACTATTGTGCCTAGACTACAGTGGTCTGTTTATAGAAGCTGTATTTCATAAGTAAGTTGTACTTGATCACAGCACAAAAGTCCTTTATGGCTAGATCTAATGACAGAGTTAGGGGCCTGGGGGGTTCAAAGTCTGGTATTTAGGTGCCTAGACCCTGTAATGGACTTGGCACCCACTAAGGTGCCTGGACTCCTCCTAGAGGGGACAGAGAGACTTAGGCAGCTCTGAAGGGTGATGCAGGAACCTGTCTACTGAGCTCTTCCTACAGGTCACAGGAAATTCTGCTGCACAGGTGAGAGCTTCTGAAAAGCTATCTCTCGCTGGGGTCCAGACACAGCCTGCTTGTGAGTCTGGAACACTGTGTTGAAAGCAAATCCTACAACTGCTTGTTCAGTAAGCAGCACCTAAATCAGTTCTTGGATCTAGCCCAGGGCTTTGTGACAGGTCGCTGGGTTTGTAACATATTGCTTAAAGGTGTTCAATTATACATAATTTTATAAATTTTATATCAACAGTCAGATCTTTCAAATGAATATTGCTTTTAAAAAAATTCCTATTCCTGTAGCAATCCCTGAAATTCCTGTAACATCTTTGTCATGCAAATAGCAGTGTGTAGGCAATTCAAATATGAAGTAACCAAAAGTCTGTCCAGTGGGAAAGTGAGGCACTTAGGCAAAGTGACTTGTAGTCACTTCTGATTTATGCAAGACCCAGGAACAATCCCCAGACCTGATTCCCATTCTTGAGTTTGAACCAGTGGACAGGCAAATGTTGTCTGGAACTACTGCATAATGGCAGCAATACCTTTGCTGTGTTGGGATGGGCTTGTTTCATTTGTCATGCTAAAACTCACTCTTCTGAGCTCATTTCCTGTACCTCTCACTCCAGTAGCCAGTATAACTTGGTTCCAGTTCTCTATTTTGAGAGCAAGGATGGATTAGAGTAAGGTAAGCATTCTAAAAACATCAAGTTGACTATTTCACAGACACAGGTGCAATGCAAAGACAATGTAGATAATATTTTGGTAGAGCAAATAAAGTCTGTTAACCAGGCCATCTGTTGGTACTGCATTACACTTTTTGGTGTGCCAGATGGTGTGTTCTAGGAGCAATCTGGCTTTCCTGGAAGTCTAAAGAAGGCTTGAAAAAACACACACGAGCTCTGCAGGTTACTCCATGCTCTGGCACCTGCTGGAGCTGCATGGTGTTACTCAGGTGGTAGGAGAATTCCTTCTGATGTTGCCTTAAACTTTTTTCTCTCCCTTTCTTCTTTCTCAAACCCTGAACAACAGATGGATCTGCCCTTGGCATACTGGGCACAGCACTTCCGCATTTCCTGAAGCACGGCTTCACACTTAGACTCCATGTAGTTGTTCACTGGAAAAAAAGGAGATACCAAGTCTGCAGAGGGGAACAGGCTTTGTCCCCCAAGGGGACACATCTAACCCAGCCCTTCAGCTGCTGGGCAGTGCATTTCTCTGAAAAGCAAGAGCTGCTTACAAGCATTTCATCACTTTCTCTGCTCTACAAAAAAATCTGTCTTTAGTTTCAGCTATCTAAAGCCATGCATAGGCGGTCTTGCTGTTGTGGATGGGAGCATCTTCAGTCCCCCAGCTTTGCAGCTATCACTACAGTAAGAATGACTTTTCCCTTATTACTGCACTTCAGTCCTTACTTTCTTTAGACTGTGTGCTTTTGAGCTAGATCTTGTCATCTATGGTCTTCAACCCAGCTGCCATGTCACTGTAAGGTTTACAGCAGAGTGTAAATACAAGGGCATTTAAAGAGGACTGGGTATAAACAGCAATATGTGCATCCCTCAGCACTGTGGGATTTGTAAAAGGAAGGGGTGAGGGCATGACTGCCAGCCTCCTACTGGTGGCCTCTTGCGGGCTGGCTGTAGCTTTGCAGCATAACCAAACCAGGCAGCAAACCAGCAGGAAAAAAAGCAGCTGAATCCAACGGCACAGAGCCAGTGATACGACCACCTTCCACATAAAAGGTCCCACCTCTGGCTCAGGAGGTCCCTTAGCCACACAACTGTTACTTGTCAGTGTTAACTGACACTTGACACTTTCCTTCCTAGTCTTCTCTTGGACACTGCCAGAGCTGGAACACAGGGCTAAACGAGGTCCTAGTCTGACCTGGGATGGCTGGGCTCACATCTTTGTGTATGGCGCAGCTACACCAACCTCTGTACTTTCTCCATTTTGCCTTTTTTTCAGGCTCGGAAAGATATCCCTGCACCAACAGGTTCAAGCACTGCAGGACACAGGTGATTTGTCCAACATAATTTCTGCCCTAGTGCTTTGCTGGCTGTGACTGCTGGCTGAGGTGACAAAGCCCACAGTGCTTTGCAGGGCTGGCCACCAGGCTCTCAGAGAGAATCCCTGCGGGTATGTGAGCAGACTGAAGTCTGTGGCTTGAATTAATAACTACCCACCTGTCTGCATGGAAGCGCGGGGTGTGGAGCTATCTGCTCTGCCTTGGATGAGCCATGCAACCACTACAGAGCTGTGCTCACCCCCAGCCACCACTGACTGAAAGAAGCAACAGCAGCCCAATGTGAGACAAACCAACCACCAACTGGAAAGCCCAGAGAGCAGCAGTGAATACCTTCCAGCGAACAAGCAAGCCAGCCTGCTCTGGTCACTGGGCTATGAATTCCCTAACTGGGTTGGTGAGTGACCTGTAACACAAGCCCCTGAGAAAAAAGGTTATGGTGATGTTACTACTTTGTGCAAGCTGGCAGCCTAGGAGGCATGGCAGGCCCTTGGAGAGGAAAGCTAATCTCTCTCTGCCATAACCTGCTGATGGTAAGTGCTCCAAGGCTTTTCTAACTGTTCCTCTGCCTGTGCAGGTTTGTTTCTAAAACTATGGCTACATTCAGGCACACCCTGCTATCTTTCAGGGATGCATTCCTGAAAAGCTCAACAGTCACACAGTGGATAGCAAAACACAAAAGAGATTTACAGTGGGCATTCAGTCTGACACAGAAAGCAAGCAAGATCTTCTGGAGCAATGACCCACTCCAAAACTAGCCTTTGAAAAGCCAGCATCTCCCTAAGGTCCTGCTTCTGCCCTCCATCCTCCGCACTGTGTACACTGTGTATTTCTCAGTTGAGGCTCTGTATGCATCTTCTGTTGCATTAATTCTTACAGGGAAAAATTGCCTTGCTGTCTGTCAACTCTGCTGCTTCACCTGTGCAACTCGGACAACTCCACAGAACAATATTACATGAACAAAAGCACCCCAAAATGATAGCTAGAGAAGCAGCAGACAGCGGAGTGTGCACGCAACAGAGTGAAAGAGCCTCTTTGCTAACGCTTAACCATTTCAATCATATCTGTACACAAACCTACACAGGTAAAACACTTGGAATAACCTCCATGAATGTTATAATAAGAACATTGTCACAGATGGGACCACAACAGGGCCAAACATTAGCTTTTAAGTGCAGTCACTATGGGGAGAGAAGGCAGCCCTTCAGGGGAGAATGGTCCAAACCATGAAGACAGTCAGAGGTAATATCTAGACAAATGTTGGGGACATGTAGAGAGGGTTATTTGAGCCTTTGCTTTGAGCTGAACACAGCTTCCAAAAAACAATCCTGGGAAAGACAGACATCTACCAATAACTGATGATTGCTCTTCCCTGCTTTTTCCAGATGCTTTTCCTCCTATGCTCCTCCCCAGCCACCAGGGTTGTTGTGTCACCTGCACTCATTGCAATCACTGCGTTTGCTGCAGCCTGCAAAGCCATCCCTCTACTTCCCAGGCAGGAGCCCCTCTTCCCTCCCTGTAATTTTAGCTATTCTGCTTGTAATCTGCAAATACATTAAAGGCAGAAATGAATTCCTGTGGAACTGGCCTGGCTAATTTTAGCTGTGGCATTGCTAGCCTCCTGTCTTGTCATCCCTGGGCTAACACCATGAGTTATTCTAACATGGAGCTCAGAGAGTGCTGGCTAAGGGTGCCACCAGGTGAGTTAGGAAGAAATCTTTCCCAAGAGAAAAGCTGAGCTGCCTTAGCACAGAGGCATGTTTTCTCCTATTCATTCCATAAAGCAAATCCTTTTCCAAGAAGCAACCAAATTTTTAAAAAATATTGTCCTCTGCAAGTAACAAGCCTGCTGTCCCCAACCCAGGCTCCCAAAACACATTATCACATCATCTCCCTCGCCCCTAAATATTTAGCTACACTAATACAAAACAGCTGTTAAAGGTCTCAGTCTGGAGACCATCTCATACCTTGAGGCCAGATCACATATACCTAACCCATTTATGACCTGCTCTTAAAATCCCCCTGGAGCTAGAAGCTCTGCAGTCTTTTCATACAATCCACCCACCACCTCACTACCCACTCCGTAAGAGAGCTTACTGTAACGTCTAGCTCTCCCCACCTACAGCCGAGTCCCAAAACTACACATGGGATCTCACTACCAGCATGGAGAACATGCTAAAATAAGCACATTACTGTTACAAACACACTGTTTTGTACTATTGGTGTCTCTTTACTTACAATGAAACATAAGGGAATGCTATTAAAGCCAGACACCATCATTTTGCTTGCCTTGCAACCAGGTGATGCTAATGTGCTTGCTTTCTTCCTTCTCAAGGTGAAAGGAGAGCAGGGTTAAGTTAAAAGAATTAAGTTCCACCCAAAATCAAGACACCAAAGAGATAAAATGACACTTGGTACCTTGCAAGCATTTCTGTATTTCACAGGCTTGTTTCTGGCAGGGATCCTTCTGGGGCATGTTCAGAGAACTAAAATGATAGGAAAATGTTACTGTAGAAACAAGGTGCTTTTCAGGGGGCAGGGCGAGAGACTGTCCTAAAGCCAACGCTTTGAAGAGCTCCCAATTTCCCTCTCCGTCACAGACACTTCAGAACGCATCTATTGCTGCTTGCAGGTGTCTGCCAACATACACAAGAAATCTCTGGCTAAAGGATGATAACGTGGACAATGAATACGGGAAGTTTTATGTTGCTAGGCTTGAAGGCCTTTTTACTTTCCCTGGCCAAAATGTGTTCTTTTCCACTTGGATGCACAAAGATTCCAGCAAAGATTCAAATTAAAGTGTCTGACTAATTTTTAACAGTTCTGTGCCTCTAGACCTTATATTAAAACATGTATTTGTGTAAAAACCCTCTCTGTGAGCTCCACATAACGAAGGATTTGGTGTTAGTCATAGAACTGCAGTTGGAGGAGGTATTTAAAAAAACAACCAGAGAAAACAACTTAGTTGTGGATGTCCCATAAAGACATCAAGGAGGGCTTTTTTTTTTTTTTTTTTTTTTGTCCAGGAGAAAGTCTCTTGGAAATCCCCCTCCCCCGCCAAAAAAACCAGACTGGAGGACAGCTCCATCTGGTTCAAATTCCTAGAAAGCAGGATGTCAGACACTCAATTTGACTTTCTGCAGCTGTGACACATTTAACTGTGCTCTTCCACAGAGATCAAAAGACAAGCAAAAACTTGTGGTATTAGTAGTTGGATGGGAGACCTCTACAGGAAAGCACCGCTGTTACGGAAAGCAGTAGTGGGACTTCAGCTCCCTTTTAACTGCCTGCCCCTGCTCAGAGCTAGGGAGGTGCTGCCTTTCAAATTTCTGATAATTCACCAGCCCGTGGCACTTTTCAATATCACTAGGGCATTATTTCCAGCATCCTGGCCAAACTCCACTTGGGGCAATTTTATTCTGCCTACCTAGAACTCCCCCTGATGTTTCACTTGGACACAATACTCCTCTTCACTGCCTGTCCTAAACTCTTGTGTGATGTTGTTGTGTGTTAACTGCCTCCACCTCAGAGGTGGCTGCATTTCAGTGGAGAGAGAATCATTTATTGTACAACATATACAACGACATCTTCCTAGAGCCACTGCTCCTGAAAGACAAAAATTCATATTAAAGAATGACTGGGAATAAACAGAGCACAGTACAAAGCAGGGGTAATGTCTACACGTACCAGATTAATCACCAGGCACGAGTTTAAGCAGCAGTTCTTCAACACCACCAAGCTGTAAGCGACAAGGAAAAGTTCAATACGTCTACAGTTACTGTGGCTGAGCTAACGGACTTCAACAAAATAACAGTCCTTTGCCGTCCCTCAAGGATCTCAAATGACTTCACAAACAGGCATGACTATGGTCTATTGTTGCCACCATCCTTACCATGAGATGGTGCTCTATCTCCCAAACGCGAGAGTTACTATCCCTGTACTGCTCACCCTGGGACAGCTGCCACATATGAGGCAGCCGCGATGGGGGGAGCTGGCTGGGTCGCAGCGCCTCACCCAGGGGAACCTGAACTCTTTGGATCCGAGCCCTCAGCATACCTTCCTCCTGGGGGAAAGTAACAAAAAGAGCAGGCAGTTACTGGCAATGCAGTAGAGGCACCTGCAATAGCAAAGCTACAGTCACTGGGAAGCTCAAAGGACACTTGCCTCTTCCGCAGCTACAAGCCACGTTTTGCGGTGCTCGTCGCAGTAAACACCCACACGTCGCACCCACAGTCGGACAGGAGGAGCGCCAGCATGCCCTCCTTCTGCCATTCCCTCAGTCACTTCAGGGTGCTCCCATTAGGTGGATGGCATCAACCCGCAGGATGCACGCATGGTCTCTTTAGCTCTGAATACATTCATGGAGAAAGCTCTCAGACCTGAAAGGCACGTCTGGGTGGCGTCTGAATTATTGTATGAGATGCCATGTGCTGAAATGTCCCTAAAAGTCAGCTTGGGAAACTAAGGTGGTACCTAAGCAAACAGAAATTTCATGACAATTTGTACACTGGGACCAGTGTGCTGCATGGCATTTGTAAGGCATTCTGGGGCAAAAGGTGCTATTGGTACAAAGTTAACCCTGTGAATATTGGCTTTGCTTACTCCACTAACAGTCCTATTAACAGTCTTTGCGTAAAATAGGGGGAAAAAAATAAAAATAAAAAAGTGATTTACACAGGAGTTCCGTGGCTACTGATGGTCTGAATCCGAAAAGCAAAATTTGTGACAAGAGGTGAAATTAGCTTAACAAGAACGAAGATCACTCTGGAGATAAAGCATGAACCTCCGTATGCACGACTCTCCTATTTGGAACTTGCAGAGCTGTCATTGTGAAGGGTCCTTCGTCTCATCTCTCAAGAGGATGGCAGCATTGTCCATTCACATACAAGCTTCTTGTGAATAGCTCTCGTGACTTTGTGTAGTTCGGCTTTTAGATGGTTACAGAGAGCCACCGATAGCAGCAGGGGCAAAGAAATTTTGGACATTGAGGTGGTTCTTCCTACTGGAATTTCTGTTTAACATCAAGTTTATCTGTATACCAGTTAGATCAAGCTGAGCCATTAGCAAATGAAGGTCAGGGGAAATGATTCTCTCTTTGAACCCTAGAAGAGGTAACCAAAATGGTACAGACAGTCTTCATTCTTTATCTAGGTTTAAAGTAGAACAGAATTAAGCTGTAATACATACAACATCCTCCTGCTATGAAGCAGATGCAATATTCCTATCCCAGTGAAACACAGTGGTCTTCTGAAAACTTGTAAAGTTATAAGGCATATTTCAGACAGAAGCAAGAAAATCTGGGTACAAAATAAAGTAGGGAGGAGAGAAAGAAGTTATTATACATTGGGGTACATACATAACAGGAAATACACTTCCATGTATTCTTCCATGTCTATATCTTACATCAATGCTTCTCTACCTTTTTGAATCAAAGGATCATGTAGCCTTTTTGAAAACAAAACACCAACCACGGATCAGCCTGAACAGCACTGTCACAGTATTTTAATTTCTAACAAAGAAAGCTCTGAATGTTGTTTTATTATTTATTTTTCTCCCATTCTGTTTGTTTCCTTGCTTGATGTGTGGGAAGGGGTATGTGCATTATAAAAAGCACCACTGCTCTAACAGACCATCCTGTGATGTGGTACAGCCATTTCAAGCAACACCCCAGCAGCTGGATCACTGGCATTTACAGGAATGTGACAGAAGACTGACAAGCCTCACAAGGCCTTCAAGAATAAGCTGTGAGAGTTAAAGGGACATTTCTGTAAGTCCTTTTCATTCTGCTTTACCCTATGTCACTTTACAAATTTAAGCCCATGTGTGGAAATCACTTTGCCCAACAGTGAACTGCAGCAATCGCCACTGCTCATTTTCAGTCAGCTGAATGTAATTACCCAGGTTGGAATTTGGCCAGGATACTCTCCTACTCTGCAGCAAACTGCCAAAAGCTCCATCATGACCAAGAACTTGCTTTTATTTAATTCAAAGCTGGAATTTCTACAGCCCAGAACCAGAAGACTCAAGACTGACTTCAGTATTGGGAAGATATTATGAACACTATTTCCTACAGCAAGTAAACTCTCCTGGAAGGTCTCCTATCCAAATACTAACCTGGTTCAGTCTTGCTGAACTTCAGGTCGGAAGACTAAAGCACAACAGGTATGTTTATGTTTACTGTGTATGAACACGGCAGTAATGATAAGTACAGGACCGACAGAACAAGGTCTCATGCAGAGGACACTGTGCAGAATGGGCAGTGTTTAACTCTGTTTTCACCCTTTGCCCAACTAACTTGTCCCACACTTCCTCCAAGTCAGTCTCTAATACTGGTATGAAGGTGTCCAGTTAGTGCCACAAATAAAATCTTGATGTCAGGCAAAACCGTCAATTGGGTTTGAAGTAAAACAGGTCTGTCTTTAGTACTCAAACATACAAAAGAAACAGATTTGAAAAAGCATGTGCTTAGACATTTGCACCTGAAACTTTAAGAAAGGAAAAACATATACAATTCCTATTTTTGCAGATTTTATCAGAAAGCAATAAAAAAGCCTGAAGGATGACATGGGTGAAAGCAGAAGCAAGCTTACTTATATTTTAAACAAGTTGTAAAACCTGTTTTTTATATTGTTTGCTTCATAATCTATTTAAAAAACCCCACCACATCCAACAAAACCCCAATAATTTTAAATTTGCAGGATTGCAGCATCATCCTTTGACACAGATTTTCATGTTCCCATCAACATAACTGCAGTAGTCTGAGCTGTTTAAGATATTGATTTGGGGAGATTTAAAGCCCAATCCCCATGGACAGGAACAAGACTTGCAGGTATTCTGTCCATCTCAGCATCAGGCCTCAGAAGTTTAATGCTGTCCTGGGTGGATTTCTGAGCTATACAATATATGAATAAATGTGAAAATGGGCAGGAGGAAGACTGCATCTTATGGTAAAGACAATTTATTTGCTTTTAAAGGGGGTACATTAAAATATTTTATGAAAACAGTGGAAGAAATTGCTCCACCTGCTGCTTGGACGATCCCCAGAGCTGGAGCTCAGCATGCTGAACAAACTCCACCCTTCATTGCCTTCTATTTTAAAAGAGGACTGGGTCAGAATTTTAGAAGAGTTCAGCTGCCTTTTAGGCACCACGGAAAAAAAACGATGCCGAGGCTTAGTGAATTGGGCACCACGTTGTACTAATGCAGCCACACAGGGTCTGGACCAAGGCTGGCCAGTTTGGCTTTCTGGTGGAGAGCGTGCAGCCTCCAGGGAGCTAAAAGAGAGCTGAGCTTTCCTCAAAAACCTAGCCTGCATCTTTCAACAGCTCAGGGATCAGAGGAGCTGTGTGCTGATGTGAGAGCATGGTGACTCACTCTAAAGCTTCTTCTTGGAGGTTTGGACTCTACTCTGCTGGAGCCCTTGCCCTGAGCAAGGGCCTCTGTGACTGCGCTCTGCCCAGCCTACTGAGGGGTAGCAGATGCTCACCGACCAGCCGGGGCTGTCCGCAGCAGCGGGGGGCAGGAAGCTCTAGCTTTGGTAGGATCTAAAGAAACAGGGAGACAAAAAGAGACATTATGTGGGGAGCCCCGGAGAAGGGAGGGATGAGGAAAGGGGTGCGGGAGCCGGCCTGGTGCAGGGTCGGTGGAGAAGGG